GTATTCTGCTTTCTACAGATTGGATATGAAAGCAAAGTGTTTGGGTCTGATAGTGAATGAGGAAAAGACGAAATACCTGCTAACAGTCGTTGAATTCGCTACTCTGCTCCCCAGTGATTTGGGCAGTTATAACCTCGAGATCGTAGATAATTTCGTCTATCTTGGGACCAGCATCAACTACAATAATATTGTCCACCTTGAAATCTAACGCAGAATCACTCTTTCCAATAGGTGCTACTTTGGACTGTGTTCAATTGCCTACGCAATCTCTCTCGACGAATGAAGATTAAACTCGTTCCCATCCTGCTATATGTCATAGACGGCGACATCCTCTGATGAGGCGGCGTGGTAGTTTTCGGGGGAAAGGTTTTGCGTAAAATTTATGGCGCTCTACGAGTAGGAATGGCGAATACCGCTGACGGTGCAACGATGAGCTGTAAGAAATATACGGTAATATTGACATAGTTCAGCTATTCAAGAAGCAGCAGCTACGCTGGTGGTTCGATGCAGTACTCGCTTGTGTAAAAAGAGGGAGAGAAAGATCTCTACTCTGTTGGAAAGACCAGGTATGTAATGTACTAGGTGCTAGATAAATAATAATGTATAGGCTGGCCTGGGCCTGCGTATTATTAACGAGATATAGTCAGAGATTAATATCCATTTCAGCCGATAGCCTCCGTTGCTAGTTGCCTAATCCTGTAACGTAATTATTTATAATTATATTTCAAATAAATAAATAAATAGTCTCTGTTTCGGTACTCAAAGTATTTCATGAAATTTGGAATATAAATCTCTCGAAGTAAGCCGGACGTCGCTACTTTGATCTACATTTACGCCATCAGTTAGAGCTTTGTCGCAACTCAAAGTCTTCCTATAAATTAGCTGAACGAATAAAAAAAAAATACATCGAAATACTTTTATCTACAAGTGATCTATATTTCTATCCAACTTTTAGCCATTTTTGTCGACCCGTTGACATGTGGCCACCTTCTCGAAATGGGAGTAAAAATTTATCACCGTACCGTAAATACGTCCTTTTTTAAAAGAACGATCCGAAAAGTTAGAAACAAATGTTCATAATATTTTTATATATAAAAAGATTCGAGGTGCTACGCTCCCTTTACCGGTTTTTGGTAAGCATAAACCAGGGGTTTGTTTAACCTTAAAACGCTGCCTAAATTTTGAGGTTCAAGAAAATCTTTATTCAAAGTGATCTTTATATAGACACTAGAGCACCCGGCGAATTTTGCCTCGCCCCAATTCCATGCCTCTGGATTAATTTGAGAGTAAAAAATAAAATATGTTGGTGGCACTATTTCTCCATAACTTTTGGATGTTGGTGGTCGAAATTAGGGGCAGGCGATATGGTATTAGTCGATTAGTTTATCAGCGCAACAAAAAAAAAACCGTTTACCAGCACGTGTACAGGCAACATACACTTACATTTTCCTATGCGCTTTGTCGTCTTATAGAACGCACTACTAAGAAAACAACTCTCTCTTAAAATAAGTCGAGGTCGCTTCAAAAAAGAAAAGTTCAAACTAATTATAAGTACGATTTCTCTAAATTGTCAGGTCTACATCTCGTAAAGAAAAGAAAACATTTTGAAGAAACATTTTCCACTTAGTCTCAACCCTAAGCTGTCAATCTTTTAAATTTCAAGAATTCAAGAATTTCTCGTATAAATAGTTACCTGACTCACTTGTCGATATAATGTTTAAGTTTCTTTGGGAAAAATCTTCCCCTATGAAATACGAATAATTGAAAACAAATTTATCAATTCTGTAAAATAGATTTTTTTTTTTTAAATTTGAATATACTCATACGCGTGCTTAATTGGAAGGAAAAGGAACTCGTTTACGCATGCGCCCGCCTTCCTACAAATTTGCAGCTTTAGCCAACTACCATCTATCGTGTTATGGAATGGAACTATTCGGTTTGGGAACTTTCATTATTTTTGACATGGATGGCTGATCTACAACATGCGATCTGTAGATGCGATTGGCTTAAGCTAGATGTCGTTAAAAAGACAATATTTTATACTTAAAAACATAAAAAATGAATGTTGAACACCTGGCTCAGTAGTGTTTGAAAATAGGTTATATTCTCGAATCGTGCCGATAATTTTGATGTTGTGAAGGCTAACAAATAAAAGAGAGTCGAGTTTAAGCATTATACGACCACTGTTTCGAAGTGCTAAACATTGCACTAAAACAGTTTGGAACCATTTCAAAAGGGCTGAATACACAAAGAAACTCGATGTATGGGTGCCACTTGAGTTAATGAGAGTAAAATAGAAAAAGTTATACTGCTAATCTAAGCAAAAGGCCATCCACGAACCGACTTTCAAGTAAATCAAACTATGAATACTTTTTTTTTTGATGTATGGGTGCCACTTGAGTTAATGAGAATAAACCTCAAGGACCGAATTTCCATCTCCGAATCGCTGTCGAATCGTAACAAAATAGACTCATTTATAGAGCGTTTGGTAAGGGGTGACAAAAAGTGGACCACTTATAGCAACATCAAATGAAAACGGTAGTTATCGAAGGGCAGTATCCAGTATTTTTGTCCAGGTAGGTTTTTTTTTGTGTGTTTGATGGATTTCGCAAGTAATCATCCTTTAGAAACTACCCCAAACTGTCAAATTGGACTAGTACTGTCAGCATTTAGACCGCCTGAAGGAAATAATCAACCAGAAGTGCACAGCTTTGGCCAACGGGAGGAGAATTGGAATAGTCATTAGGACAACGCCAGACCATACACATCGATAGTGACACGCCAGAAGCTCCGTGAGTTTGGTTGAGAGTTTCTGATACATTCACCTTATTGCTCGGAATTCGCAGCAAATGGTTGCCCTCTGTTGCTGTCTATGCCGAATGAATCGGCTGGAGAAGAATTGGCATCAAGAGAAGACTATGAAAATTGATTGTTCCAATTTGTTTGCTAATTGGGAAGAGCGTTTGTATGAGAGGGGCATAATCTTGCAAAGGGCAAAAAGTTATCAGTCAGATAATTCTAGCTATGGTATATAAACCTGCAATTTGTTACAAAAATAATGGTTTACAAACGTAGTGCTCTGCTAATCTAAGCAAAAGGTCAACCACGAATCGAATTTAAAGTAAATCAAACTATAAATACTTTTTTTTTGGATAGGTTAGTCTATGCTTAAGCTTAACTCCTTCCCGGTGAAAAAATATTATAGATGTTGGCCGATTCTCATACCTACCCGATATGCATATGCACGGATTGTCACTGGCGATGAAAAATGGATTTATTATGATAACCCAAAGCGCAAGATATCGTATGTGAAGCCCGGCCAACCATCGACATCCACGGCAAAGCCGAATATCCATGGTGCCCAGGTTATGGTATGTATTGGGTGGGACCAGATGGGTGTGCTCTATTATGAGCTATTGAAATTGGGTCAGACGATCAATGGCGACCTCTACCGAAAACAATTGATTCGTTTGAAAAAGGCCATTGCGGAAAAACAACCAGAATATGCGACCAGACACGAATCAATAACTTTTCATTACGACAACGCTCGGCCACATGTTCCAAGACCAGTTAAAAACTATTTAAAAACCTTTGGATGGAAAGTTCTATCTCACCCGCCTTATAGCCCAGACATATCACCTTCCGATTCCTCCACTTGTTCAGATCAATGCAGAATACCCGCACCGGAGTACGCTTCACTTCAGAATAGGGTATCAGAAATTGGCTCGATTCTTGCTTGACCTCCAAGCCGGTGAAGTTCTTTTGGGATCCACAAACTGCCAGAAAGGTCGGTAAACATCATAGCTTCCGATTTTTCACAATAAAGTCTTAATTTTCGAAAAAAAGCCGCACAAATTAATGCACACATAATCTTGCCACCATTTGCAAATATGAAACACTGTGCGCAACCTTTTGCTGATTGCATGTCATTTTTACCATAATTTTCCAACAAACATATGCGGGTTAGTATTAAATGTCCGTATATTTGTATGTATGAATGCATACATATATGTATGAATGCTTGCATATATGTATGAATGCATGTGTGTGTGTGTGTAAGCAAGTGGTATGAAGGTGTTTTTCTGCATTTAAGGTGTTGTTTAGTGCAGGCAACTGTGCCACATTGGACACATGTGACCTTATTTTTCGGCCTGCAATCAGTGGGCGCGCAGAGCACACTAAACTATATTGCCGTAAGCTAGAAAACAACGGACGGAAAATGGGCGCCGAGTTGAAGCACAAAACACGTACATACGTACATACAAACATACAAAACATATGTATGTGCACATACGAAAAATGACAATAGGGAAATAGAAAATCGAAAGGAGAAAAAATGTCGACAGGCATAGCTGTGCATTGTTTGTTGATGAGAATTACATACACACATACATACATACATTTTTTGTACATGTGTATCCTATATATATATATGCATAGGTGTGAGTGGCTGTGCAGCGGCTTGCGTTGCGATCGGCAAAGCAAATTAAAATTTTATGTTGTAAAAAGTGCAAGTTTTTTGCTTTCCTATTACTGTGCATGTACTCGCGCGCGTGTATATGTGTATGTGTTTATTTGTATGAAAAGTGTTTTTCAAACTGCCACGAAATTATGCAAACTCCGAGGCGAGTGTGCGCGTGTATTGGTGTGAGTTTTTTTCTTTTACTGAAATGTTCGTGCAGCAGAAAAACACTGTTATGTGTATGTGTTTAGATATTCTTGTATGTGTGAGTGTTTGCATGACACTGCAGCAACTTTCGCTGTCGCCATTCAGTTTCCCTCACTGATGTTGTTGCTGTTGTCGGCTTTTGGCTGCAATTCCATTCGTGCTTTGGCACTTGAAAGTGTCGAAAATTATTCTTTTTTGGTTGCGTTTTGCGGCAATGTGGGAAATTTTTTCTTCGATTTATTTTTTAGGATACACACACATACACACACAGGCACACTCATTTACATACATGCTGCTTTATCGCACTGAATATGTATGTATGTATACTCACTTGAAATCCTTTTGTAGGTCAGCATTGCTGCTGGCACTGGAGCCATCTTCACTACCGCCACTGGCGCCAATGCCACCATTTGACATCACACCGCCGCCACCGCCACCAATTGCGCCCACTAGCTCTTCATCTGCCATTTCGGCACTACTTCCGAGCACGCCCATACCGCCATTGCAGGCGCCACCGCCATAGCGGACGCCTCCGCCTGCACCATCACCAACACCACCACCACCACCTGGTGATGGTGAGGACTGCTGATGATTGTTGGCGCCGCCGGCGGCATTGTTCGACTCATCAGCAGTTGCCGCGCCATCGCTATCTGTCGTTGGCGGCTGACCACCTTGTAATTTGTTGCGGTTTTGTCCCGCCTGTGGTTGTTGTGAGCGTTTTGAATTTTGCTGTTGAAAGCGTCGCTGTTTTTGACGTTGCTTCTGGCTCTGCGTATAGCTGAGTTGATTTTGCACCGGACTTTGATGACTGCTACTGCTGGGTGGATAGAGATTTTGTTGGCTCTGACTGTGTCCATGGCTGTTGTGATGACTCGCATATTGTTGTAGGTGTTGGTGTTGTATGTACTGCTGCTGTTGCTGTTGACCATACGCCGCACTGCTAAGTTGACATTGACTCTGACTTTGTGTCGGCGGCGGTGGATAGTGGTTTTGTGGCAATGACTTCGGTTTGTATTGCGGCGCCGGTGAATTGGATGCAGGTGGCGGCGGTAGAGGCGCCAAAGCTTGCAAAAATTGTTGCGACGAGTGCTGCTGCTGCTGCTGCTGCTGTTGGGTCGAGGAATGATGTTGGTGATGTTGTGGCGCCTGCAAGCGTAAAGGTGTTTGCGTCTGCGTGTGAGTTTGTAATTGCGGCTGCGACTGCGTTTGTCCTTGCTGCGCGCCATGAGACGTTGCCGCCATAGTTGTTGGTGTGCAAGCGGATGTAGAAGCGCCCGCTTGTGGCGGCTGACTATGCTCCTGACTGCTACCATTAGAGTGCAGTGCGTGCATCGGTTGTGGCATATCGAGCGCCAAGAGTTGGCGCAGCAAATGCAACTCATCTTTATAGGTGAATTCATCGAGTTTGATGCGCTCCAATTGGAATCGTATTAAATCACTGAGGGCCAACAGCGAAGAGGCCATAGCTTTCGATTTTCGGTTCTTAACATTAACACCACCGCCACCGCCTAAAAACAAAGCACCAAGACCAAAACCAATCCGAAACGCGCTAACTCTGTTAAAGAGTATGGAAAAGTTGATTTCTAACGTACGTACTAGCACACGTTCTACACAGCCGAGAAAAAAATATTAACAACTACAACAATAGCACAACAACAATGCTAGCAAAAGAAAATTACTATAATTACAATGACTTGTCGATTAAAAGTATAGCAAGAGAGTTGCATGAGTAGTCCACTAGTCGCCGATATATTGTATAAAGAGAGAGCGAAAGAGAGGAGTGCTGCGCGCGGGGAGTAGGTCAAATATTAACTGCACGGCATAACGCGACAATAACAAAACGTCCTGCGGCTGTGACGGCAACCGGGGATCGAGGCAAAATGTCAGCACACGCAAAACGTTTGGACAACGGAGAGTTGCTTAGCGGAAACTATAATGTAGCGTATAACGGTTGGACGGTGGTTGACTTGTGCGTGTTGTTGTTTTTTTATTGTTAAATATTTTTTTTTATTACACCTTCTTTTTCACGCGCAGAGCGGGGGCTTGCGCCACCCAAACCGAAGTGATTATTGCTCAGTTCGTAAGTAGGGAAAATCGAACGCTCGCTTTAGCTCGCTTGCTTGCCATTTTCGAAAGTGAAAATCGAAGTGGTACATTAATTCATATATTTATATATATTTTTACAGTTATTTATTTGCCAACGCAAATATTTTTAGTCGTCTCACTCTTCGTTTTGTGGCAATACTTTTTATTTACTCCATCACCAAATAACACACGCACTATCTCCGCTGCTGTCGCATATTTCCACAAGCCGTCGTTCGCGTGGTTGCATGTAAAAATTATCACCGTTAACCGTGTAGGCCGTTTTCCGTTTCACGGAAGCCTTTACCGTTTTTTCTCAAACGCACCTGAAAAATATTTTCACACTTTTATCTCCTTCCCCTGCTACCACTCTGCCCGCAGAATTTTCAGCTGATATTGGTGGCACCAATTTGAAATTTTCCGTAATCGTTTCTCCCTTAAATTCTTTAACTTTCGCCTTCTATTAGCTTTTTTAGATTACTCTAAATTCTCTTATCATTAGATAGAAATTTCTATTGCCATAATATTTGAGAAAATAATGGCTTTTCTATGAAAATGTTGCACTCATATTGATTTTTAACTTTTCGCTTAACGTTGTACTCGGCCACTCTGCGTTTTACGTTTGCGACGACCACGACGACGTTTTGCACTGTATGCCTGTGTAACTGTGAATGATGTTAGCTGATGTAGTGGCTCGGTACGAACGAGCTTGTGAGTAAATAACGAGTGCAGTTCCGACGAGTGAAAGTTACCGATGTGGCAGAGTGAGGCGATTGCGACCAAACGAAAGTAGCCGAGGAACAGTGGATGGTTTTAGTGAAAGGCACTACCGTTAGTTTAAAGGCACAAAAAATTTTAAGTGTAATTGTTTAATACTTTCAAGCTTTGAAAATAAACAAAAATTAAGCCAAACACAAAATTAAAATTTATACATTAACTCAAAATAAAATAAACTATAATTTCAAATGGTATAAAATAATAAAAAAACAATATAATATAAAATATTATAATATAAAAGAATAAATATAATATATTATAATATAATATAATATAATAGAATATAATATGATAATATAAATAAATATAAAGCAAAATAAAATAAAGAAAATTAAATTAAATATAATAAATAAAAACAAAATAAAATAAAATAAAATAAAATAAAATAAAATAAAATAAAATAAAATAAAATAAAATAAAATAAAATAAAATAAAATAAAATAAAATAAAATAAAATAAAATAAAATAAAATAAAATAAAATAAATTAGAGTTAAATAAAATAAAATAATTAAGTTCTAATAAAAATAAAATAAAATAAATTTTTATAAAATAGATTTAAATAACATAAAGCAAAGTAAAGTAAAATAAAAAATATAAAGTAATCCAAAACTAATTAAAATAAAATATTGAAAAAACTACTGCCACTGTAAGTGAAACAGCGAGCATCATTCCAGAAAAAAAATTCGCATACTCTAGCAAAAAATACTGTTCAACATTGTGGTGCAAATCAATCTTTTCTGGTGTGCATGTGCTGAGCTCATAATAAACTATGTATTTGTAACTCGTTACTTACTAGGTGAATGAGTTAATAACGCTCGTTGGGGAATTTCTACGATTCGTTGGTCTCCTGTTTTGTTGTTATTGTGTCCTCATTGGAAACATCACCTTCTTTTAGTGTCTCTACTTCCGCATGCCATTTTATCATATTTCCTTCATTCACACTCGTATTCGCGTTTAAAAGTTTTGTTGCTATTCGCTTTCATGTTTGCTTTAGCCTTTCCGTTTAGCGATGTTTTGTTGAAATATGAATGGAAAAGCGTGGCAAACGTCAACGGTGAAAAGTGAACGCTGATGGTGAGAGGAAAGTGAGCAAAGGAATGTAAATATGTACTTGTACAGATGCATGTGGATAAGCTCTAGTGTCACTCAGCTGCTGGAGGAGGGTGTTTTGGCATTTAGGCATGCAAAGAACTCTCTTCACACACACATATATATATATATAGTTAGTTATAAGTACACATATACATACATACATATAAGAGCAGGTATTCCACATGTTTTACCATACCTTCTTATATGCTATTACAAACACACACACACATGCAACCAAGTCCTTTCTTTCTCTAGAAGGCTCGCATCAGTGAAAGTAGTATTCATATNAATTTCTGTTTAGTTTTTCTCATTAACTTCCAATTAAGTGTCTGTAAGTGTGTAGGCGTGTATGTGTGTGTGTGTGTGTACATATATATTAATACTATATGCATTATTAGACTTGCTTGCATGCACTAGCACTTTTGTTCGCTGGCACAGTCAGTTTTGGCGCCGTTAAGTATGCAAACAATAGCCAAGAAAATAGAAAATAATAAAATTTGTGTTGTGTTTTGTTATTGTATGCCAGTCATTTCGTTGGCAGATAGCATACAAGTCTGTATGTATGTAAATATATTTGAAGGCGAATACGTCAGGCATGCATGTATGATGAGCTGAGCTGCTACTTATTTTTATTTTTCATTGAAACAAACACAAAGTAAAATGGGATAATTCGCACGTTTGGTTTATTGCTGCTCATTTCTATGGAAATGTTGTTAGGGTGTAGCTACTCTACGTAATCGTACATATGAGTGTTTTGTTTTTTTGGCTCCTGGCATAAAAGTTAATTTATGTGTATTATTTTCAACTGAATTGGCAGGGAAGTGTTTTGTTAATACTGATCTTGAGAAATCTAGTCTTATTAACGGAAAATAATTTTCTAACAAAAAATTAGCAGAATCTCATTTGAAACATATTTTCGGAGCTTTACAAATTTTTGATAAATATTTTACGCATTTCACAAAAATGGATTATCGAGAAAATAGCAGGAGCTGGTAAAGACTTAGTTATTGCCGCCGAAGGACTGCAGTATTTAACTGTATATAATTCGATATTCAAGTACTGTAATAAAATGTTGCCTACATTTAGGCGCATGATTGTATTAAACTTTCAATGAGAGGTGTTATTTTGATAATCAGAGAAAACGTCGTCTTTTTTGTTTTTAATGGTCGGATGATTAATTCAATGCAGATATGCCATTAATAATTAAAAAAAAAAAACGTTTACATAACCGTATCCTTTTGATAGAGCAATCCATTAACCGTAACTGTTGGTCCAGCTTCATTTTTGAAAAAGTAAGGTACAATGACTCCACAGGACCTTAAACCGCACTAAACAGTTTCACGCTGGGAATGGAGATGATTTTCAAAAATTAATCTTGGGTTTTCCGAGCCTTAGATCGACAGTTTTGTTTGTAGACGTAGCCATCGAGGTGGAAATGGGTCTCATCAAGCAAGATGATTTTTCGATAACATTCTGGATCATTTTAATGCTTTTCAAGGACCCAATCGACAAAGACACGTCATCATTGATGGTCGGCTGGCTTGAGTTCTTGTGCTAATTTAGGCTTAACATCAGGTATTTATGAAAATACGTTGTATTCACGTTTGTGGATTGAACAATTTCAAATATAGAAATATACAAACCTGGGTTTTCTTCAACATTTTGGGACACAACAGAAAATATTTTCTTGCTCTAGAGCGACAAGGACGTGTTTTATTCCTAACATCACTACCCAGCCTAAACAGGTAAATTTCTTCCTCCAAGGTGCTTCACGACAGCCGAAAAATATTTTCCTCTTCCAGGCTTGCACCTTTTTTTGAATTTGTGAGTTTTAAGAATTTGTTTATTTATTATTTATTATTTATTATTTATTATTTATTATTTATTATTTATTATTTATTATTTATTATTTATTATTTCCTATTTATTATTTATTATTTATTATTTATTATTTATTATTTATTATTTATTATTTATTATTTATTATTTATTATTTATTATTTATTATTTATTATTTATTATTATTTATTTTTTCTTATTAAATGTCAAAAAATTACAGCTTTATATGTGCCATCTACCCACATAGCAGGTTATTCAACATCTCTTATTGGAGGACCCTTTACTGCCAACTATATTTTCAAAGTTTTGGAAGCTTTTGAGTTGTTTTGAAATCTACGTTGCTTGAACCTAAAGAGTTGCTATGCTAAAAACGTTTATATGTTAAAAGCTTCATCACACTGACAAAGGCGTTTGCAATGGAAATACGGCGCGTGTTTTTGTCTTTATTAAAAGCTGCAAGTTAACCAACGAACGGCGCAGTACTATAAAATTAAAGCTTTTAGTACGCAATGAAAGCTCATTGTGCTTGAAAGCTATGAAAAGAAAGCTTCGCCCTTTTAATCGTTCATCGTTCATCGTTCATAGTGTCATGCCCACATAAAGTACAGCCATGTGTAGATATTAAGCGCACTTTTTATATTATTGCACCTACATATAGGTGGGATAAGTCCAGATTTCTTACTCCAATAAAAATTAATATATCTTATAAATGCCATTCTGACCGCCTGCCGTTTCCCAGTTAATTTGATAATTTACTGAACTTTTGATGCCAGAAAACGCAAAAAATTGCCAAAAATTAAATCAGCTTTATTTTTTTAAATTTTTTTTTTAATTTTTCAAGTCGAACAAAGAGTCTAAATTTGCCTCTTTAAATGACCCCACCCTTAATCTTGTAATATCTAACAGAGATATTCTTGTTAAAACAACTGAAAAATTTACTAGTTAATTAACTTTGATTGTCCTGGCATAAAAAGTATCACGAAGAAATTTCTCTCTTTCTCACCATATGAGGTCGAAAGCTTTTTTGATGGCTTGTTTCAATGACTGATAAATGTATAAATATAAAAATAGCATGAGGACGTAGAGCTTGAGAAGCCGGCCAGCAAGGGTAATACTTGAAAGTTATACGAAAAGATACTTCGACTTACGGAAGGTTTTAAGCAAACTTTTGTAGAACCCAGAGGGGTGATGACGGATGCCCAGAGTATACTGAATTTATGGAGGGAATACCTCTCCAGCGTGATGAATGGCAGCGAATAGGAAACATCCGGAGATGGTAAGCCCGTAATCCCAATCGATAACGATGAAACAGACGTTTCGCTACCTGACCTTGTCGAAGCCCGCGATTGCCCGCTTAAAAAACAACAAAGCGGCTGGGGCTGACGACCTTCAGGCAAAACTATTCAAATATGGCGGTAAAGAGCTGACAAGGTGAATGCATCAACTTGTTTGCAAACTATGTTCCGCTGAAAGTATGTCTGACAATTTGAACCTAAGTGTACTCTGCTCAATCCACAAAAGATGCGATCTCACAGTCTGCAAAAAATACCGTATGATTCTTCTGTAACATCGCCTGTAAGGTCATATCGAGCGTTTTGTGTGAAGGACTAAAGCCCATCGTCATTAAACTGGTTGAACCTTATCAGTGTGGCTTAGGACCTTGCAAGTCAACCATTGACCAGATATTTACCATGCGGAAAATCTTGGAAAAGACCAGTGAAAAGATGAACGATATGCTTCACCTCTTCGACGATTTTAAAACAGCTTTCGACAGCACGAAAAGGAGCTGCTTCTATGCCGCTATGTCTGAATTTGGTATAGCCGCAAGACTTACACGGCTGTGTAAGCTGACGCTGGACAACACCAGGAGCGCAGTCATAATTGGGAAGGACCTCTCCGATCCGTTTTAGACGGAGTGAATCTTTGTCGTGTGATTTCTTCA